AGTAATGGCCATTCATCTTTGAGGGTTCTCTTCAGTACTTGATCTCCAAGCACTCTGTGGATTATTGCATCTATTTCGCACACAAGGATATATGGGAAGGCAGAGAGGAAATGGTCAGGATCATGCATCAGGCCAGTGGCAGAGCTGAGAATGGACCCAAAACCTCCTGATTTCCAGTCAAGCCTTCCATCCACCTGGGAACAGTCTTTAGCAATTGGATAAATCTCAGAAATTATGACATGGGAGCTGGAAAATGCCCAGTCCTGCAGATTCTCACTCTGGTTGTGTTCCTGCCAGTCGCCTGCTGTGTTTTATCCTCTGCCAGGTTTTGTCTGTCTGGCACATGGCTAGCACAGGGCCAGCAAAGATAGTCCCTCTCTTTGCTTCAACTTGGTGCCGCATGTCTTCTTAGCGGGTACCAGGGCACTGGAGCTGCTGCCTGGTGCACAGACTGTTCTGGGTAAAAGGTTTCTGCAAACCATTCTATGATTCTATGGTTTGCTGTCCCCCTACGTCTGTTATTTGCTGTAGGGGGAAAGCAGCTTCACAGCTGCTGGAGGATACGTCTGGGTTGATCCCAACAAGCTGTGGCACTTGCTGCTGCTGTCCTTCACGCAGGGGAAGAGAAGTTTGAGGCTGAAACGGGAAGCCACCCCTATGCTCTAATTAGCTTTGCTTTGGCAAATATGAGGACAATGGTTATTACAGCACTGGCTTTTGTAATTACAATAAACTGAACGACGGTCAAAGCACTTGTTTGCCGAGAGACTCTTGGGCTGGAGAGGTGAGGAATCAGCTAATTGGATTATAGATGGAGAGGCTGCGTTAAGTCTCCTCCTGTCCCCTCCATACAGTGTAGGGATGGGGATGGGGTTACAGGTTTTCTTTGTGTGCTGGATTGGGCAGAGCTGCAGTGTTTGCTGGGATCTCGGTAGTGCCAAGTCCTGGTATTGGGCTGGTTTATTTTTCTGGAGGAATAAGGTGCCCAAAATCACCAAGCTGAAGCCTCATCTCTGCTTGCCCAGGCCAGGCTTTGTGTGGGCATGCAGGACCATCGGGATGTCCTGCCTCATTGTCATTGGCCCACTGGTTGTGGGATACCCTTTCCTACAGCAATCTCATCCAGAAATTTCTTAAAACCTTTATATTTTCTGCATGAACAGCAGTCCTGAGTTCCCTGCAGTTGGGTTCAGGCAAGGTGCAGTCTCCCTTGTCTCCTCAAGTCCTGGGCAGGGAGACCTCCAAGGAGAGCACAGACACATCGGAAAGCCCCTGGACAGTGCCTAGCTGTCACCTAACAACGACTCAGAATGGTTCATCAGTGTGTCCCCCGAGTAGTTAGCTGTATTCCTGTAAAACATTCAAGGAAAAATGTAATTGTTTGTGGTGATGGCAGCACAGGGAGAGCCTGGTCTGTCCGGTCTGAGTTACTGAGCCGCGGTATCGACCAGAGCCACCAAAATGTTCTGAAATTTGCAGGCTGCATCCACACAGCTCTTGACCTCAGCTAAAAGAAATGTTAACTGGCATAAAAACCAACCCTCACTCCTTTGTGCTGGGCTGGTGGGTGATTGCCCAAACTGGTGGAAACTCCCTTCCAAGCAGCAACCTCAACCCCGGCTGAGGAAGCCTCCCAGCCCAGAGCCCACCAGTGGGGGTTGCACCCTGAGCACGATCCAGCTTGCCGCAAGCCATGCAATAAAACCTGGCAGTCAAAGCTCTGCCCTCACCCTCGTGCCCACAGGGATCTCAGTGTCGACGCGGGACTGACTCACGCCCAGTTCCAGGTCCGGCCGGTCCCACAGCCCTATCAGCATTACTTAGCTACACCTCGGATGCACCATTTCCCCAGAAGCACATCCTCGACACAGATGGTAAGTGAAACGTTTTTACCGAGAAATGTTTTATGCATTGTCTGCCAGAAGGCAGTCAAAATAAAGGCTGCTATCTTTCTATCACCTGTCTTCTGCGAATCCCACTTATCTCCGGCCGTGGGAGGGAGTGTCTGAAAGGATAATGTTGCATCATTGCACTCTGGATTACAGAAAGGAAAGAAAGGCTCAGCTGCTCTGGAAAGATTCAGTCCATCGCTTGCAGCACCACGCTCACAAGCTGGTCTGCAAAACCTGGGCAGGATATGAGAGACTCAGCAGTTATTACAATAATATTATTGATAGTGGAACAAACTGTGTGTTCTCAGGACATTTGGTATGCAGGATTGGCAGTAGGTGACTCCCTTCCCTGGGCTCAGCCCTGAGGACCATTCCACATCACGTGATTGCTCCCCAAATCATCTCTAAAGGTTTTGCATAGGCTCTTGCACAGGTGGACATGGGGTTTGATGAGAAGATGGGCTGACTGGGGGCATTTGCTGGCCCTTCTCCTAGCAGGGAGATGTATTTGGAGCTGAGTCATGCCAAGCACTGCTAATCCTTAGAGCATCCTCAGAAATCCCACAAAGATGTTTTTTTCCTTCTGTCCGTAGTCAAACCCTGACACCTGTGTACCTACAGCAAGGCTTAAAAAATCAAAGCTTGGGTGAAGAGGAATCCACTCATTTGAAAATAAATAAAATAAAATCTCTTTTTAAGCTAATCCATGTTGAGAGTTTGGAAGTGCAATGTTATAGATGCAACAGGGATTATTATAGCAGATAGTTTATTCAGAAGAAATGCATGTTGTTAGTTATCATTTATAGTAGATCTATTCAGTGAAACCTTTTTTTTGGTTATTAAAAGGCTTACATTGGGGAATGCCTTGCTCTGCTCTTTCATTTTGAATTTTTCAAGCAGTAGCTTTAAATCAGGTTACACAAGGGGTATCTATGGGCAAGCACAGGTGGCTTTATTTTTCTCCCTCATTTCTCACAGGTTGTTCATGAAATCAGAAATTACCCTTATCCTCAGCTTCAGCTACTTGCTCTTCAGGGACTGAACCCAAGCAGGCACACGTCTGCTGTGCGGGAGAGCTATGAAGTACGTATCTCCGGGACTGGAATTAGTATTAAATGTTTAAGTGCTGGGAATCTATGCAAGCTCTCGCATAAATTCATAAGACTCTTTCATGGCATGGTAATTGCATTGAGTCAGCAATTTTAGTAATAATTGGGAGGCAAAGGGGTTGAGAGGGTTTGGTAGAAGATGGTACTGCAGCTTTCCAGTATCTGAAGGGGTTACAAGGGTGCTGGGAGGGGACTTTTTACAAGAGCCTGTAGTGATAGGACAAGGGGTAATGGGTACAAATTGAAATCAGGGAGGTTTAGATTAGATATCAGGAAGAAATTCTTCCCGCAGAGGGTGGGAAGGCACTGGAGCAGGTTGCCCAGAGAAGCTGTGGATGCCCCATCCCTGGAAGTGTCCAAGGCCAGGCTGGATGAGGCTCTGAGCAACCTGGTCTAGTGGAAGGTGTCCCTGCCCATGGCAGGGGTGTTGGAACTAGATTATCTTTAAGGTCCCTTCCAACCCTAACCATTCTATGATTCTATGATTCTATGGTTTACTCCAAGGTGCCAGGGTCTGGCTTGGATTGACTCTGGATCGCTTCATGTCTGTGAACAAAGTTATGTAGGCCTTTTTTTCCCCAGCCTGTCAAGCAGAGCTCACATTCTATCCTAATTTCTGTAATATTGGATGTCCATCTCTCCACCATGAACCCTTAGTTATCAATCCAAGAGCCAGGGCTCAGATCCATCATTAAAAGCATGATGGATTTGGGTCTGATAGACATTTCCACTGAGGAATCATAGAATCATAGGATGGTTCGGGTTGAAAAGGACCTTAAAGACCATCCAGTTCCAACCCCCCTGCCATGGGCAGGGACACCTTACACTAGACCAGGTTGCTCCAAGCCTCATCCAGCCTGGCCTTGAACAATTCCAGGGATGCCAACTTCTCTGGTCAAAGAAAAGGGCAGGAAGGAGCCTTGGTCCCCAGCAGGTACAGTGGGGTGGTGGGTCATCATCCCCCAGGAACAATGCTGACAGTTCCCTGCTGTGATTCCTGTGCCGTAGGAGCTGCTGCAGCTGGAGGGACGGCCGGGGGGGGGTTTTGCCGTCCAGAACACCATCGAGAGGTTCACCTTCCCCCACAAGTACAAGAAGGTGAGCACCCCAAAACTGCGTCACAGCTGCCGGCCCCAGTCAGTTGACCAAGGGGTGTGGGCACGGAGCGGACAGAAGGAAGAACTTTGGTGGGTAACAACCCTTAAGGTTGGCAAACAAATGCCTTCAGCCATAATATTCCCTGAAGAGCAGGAGGAATGTAAAATCCCAAATTGGTGCTTTAATACCTGATGGGGCTCCCGGGCTGAAGCAATGATGTAGCTCAGCTGGCTGTTTCTCACTTCTAGGCTAGCAAGCTGCGGGCCAAATTTTCAAAAGGGTCTCAACCTTCTCCCACCCAGCGGGTGCAATTTCCCCCCTGTCCGCACCTGGTAAGAAAGTGGACACACCAAAGATGCTTCGTGCATGGAAACCCACCCTGTTCTGCATACAAGCGGTGCCGCCTGCGTGCCCCGCAGTGAGGACGCTGGCTCTGTGGTGTGGGGGAGCTTGTCCTCCCCTCGTTTGGTGAGAGGTGTCTTCTCTGTTGGAGCTGATCTCTTGCCCCTAAGGAAATGGGTGCCATGTTTTTGGGTCATGCTGAATAGAAAATGGAAAAAGTGTTTGTTTGCTTGGTGTTTTCACATGTTGGGCACTTCCTGGCTGGGACATTGCATTGCCCAAGTTGGAAGTGAGTCAAATCCTGCTGCGCTTATCTCCAACCACATCTCCAGTGGACCCAGAAAAATGGTATTAATATGAATGGATGTGTGTGGGGAAGAGAAAACAGGGGAGCTGACAGGTTAAGCACTGTCCCATGGCACAGTGTGGGGCAGGGCCAGTGACCAGGCTGGCACGGGGCATGGTGGTTGCCCTGCCTGGCAGTGATGGCCCCACACACTTTGGGGTTCTCCAGGAGAAGCCTCCAACAAAGGAGACCATGGGGTCATCCTCACTGCCGGGATGGAGCAAGTGGCTGGGAGCTGTGTCAGGGCAGCAGAGGACAGGCTACTCCTCGAGGCAGTACCACCAGCCCCACCACCACCAGCCCCAGAAGGAGACAAGCCAACCGGCAGCATGCTGGGGGCACCCTCCCCTCACCAGCTGTGTTGGCTGGGCTGGCTTCCCCAAGCTGGACGATCTGGCTGATAGACAAAGCTCTTATTATTTGCCCTCCTGCAACTACCCAGGCTTGGGAGATCGTTAAAAAGTCAAGTCCTAACCAAATTATTTCTTTAACCGTGCTGCAGAGAAGACCGCAGGAGGGCAAAGCTGAGCAAGACGATGGAGAAGAGTCAGACACCGATGAGAAATGCACAATCTGTCTGTCCATGCTTGAAGATGGAGAAGACGTCAGGTACGATCCTTCTGTCCACTCCTCTGCCTCTCGATGGCATCTGAGTTGCGTTTCTTGGGATTAATGCTGCCATGCGCTGGTGGGGTTGTCCCTGTTCTTATCCTGACAGACTCATTAGGGCTATTGCAAGGTCTGGGAAAGTAAATGCCATTGAGATGGATATTGGGATGGGCTGTAGGTAGGAAGGGCTCTGTAGCAGCAGGAGGGCCAAGTTGTTGTAGTATTCCTAGGTTTGCATCTCCTGCTTCAAGGCTGTGCCAGTGGGCCAGGTGGCAAGTGTCAGAGAAGGATGGGTCCCAGGTCTCAGCCATCTGTATCTCAGGGATGCCAGTGTCTGAGCCTGACAGATGACCAAAGTGTGATAAAAGGGAGTGTGGGTGTGAAGCCCAGGGGAGTTTGGCCTGTGGCCAGGACAGAGATGCTTTGTTGTAGAATAAGTGTTATTACTGTGCCTGCACTGTCACAGAGAGCCGTCCTGAGCCAACAACAAAGCCACAGCTACTCACAGAAGTCCCCAGGCTCTTTGCTGGGTCAGAGGCCTGCTTGTGACAGAGGATGGGGACAGGCCATTGCAGGAGGCTGAGCCACCATGGCTGAAGGAGCTGCAGGTGGGCAGTGCAACTGTACTACCTGGTCTTGCTCCTCACCCTTTAATTGCCTTAAACCATCAAAAAAATGCTGGTTCTCTTGCTGTGGGTCCTTGTGATTCAGGGTCCCACCGGCTTGGGAGGATGAGTGAAGAGTCACTCACAGAGGAGCTGTGGGGACCCACCTGACTGATAATGAGCTGCAACGATGAAGAACCAAGAGGCTTTTGAGCATATTTTGTGGATGCCCCATCCCTGGAAATGTCCAAGGCCAGGTTGGATGAGGCTTGGAGCAACCTGGTCTAGTGGAAGGTGTCCCTGCCCATGGCAGGGGGGTTGGAACTAGATGGTATTAAAGTCCCTTCCAACCTAAACCATTCTGTGATTCTATAACCTAATACTCCTGCTAGGTTAAAAAGCAGCAGCCAGTTAATGGAAACAACTCAGTTTAGGAGGGTGTGGGGTTTTCTGAAAGGCTTTTAGCCACAGACACCATCTCTGACCTACTGACCTGTGTGAGCTGGCATGGCTGGGGAAGAATGTAGGACCTGGGCAACACTAGTGTCACCACACTGGTGCCTCCCCATGTTTGAAGCAGCCCCAGGATGTTGCTTTCTGTCTCTTCTTGGTCTCCTGGGTCTCCTCCCACCTAACGGGGTGGTACTTTTCTCTCTGCAGGCGGTTGCCCTGTATGCATCTCTTCCACCAAGTGTGCGTGGACCAATGGCTGGCCACCAGCAAGAAGTGCCCGATCTGCAGGGTGGACATTGAAACACAGCTCGGCTCGGACAGCTGAAAGGACTGGCTGGACACACCATTTTCCTTACCAGGTCGTATGGCCATAAACCCTTGCAGCAAAATTTTTGCCTTCTGAGCCATTTGATTGAGAGGAAAAGTCTGCAGGCACGTTAGTGAGGAGGAGGAGGCGGTACAATATCTAGCGGTAGGAGATATTGCACATACGCAGGATACGGGCCCGGTGAAAGGGAGCTGGCATTCCCGGAGCTCAGAGACCCCGTGCTGCAGAAGATTTAGTGTTGAACATGAAGGAACTAGTTGTGGTAGTCTGGCCTGTCAATCCTGCATTTCATGAGGATTGTATATATACCTCTCAAATACGTAGAAACATGTTAGGGGTCCTTTAGCTATTTCTATGGATGGCAGCTGGAGCATGTTAGCTTAAGAAATGTTGTGTTTGATGCCCTACTCATCTTGTGGTGGACATGTTGCTGTTACCTAATTTGCACCAAATATTTTTTCATAGATTCCTTATTTTGGTGCCTGATTAATACATTGCAGAGGGGGAATAAAGAGGTCAAGCTTTCCCACCCTTGGGGGGCAAGAGGCGAAAAAGCAAAATCCTGTTTACAGTCAGAAGGGTTGCGCTCTTTGCCTCAACCACGTGTGCTTCCTTTCCTTGCATTTACAGTGTGTTCCAAATTTAGAGAAGCTTAAAAAAATAAAAATTGGAAATTAAATGAATGAAGCAATATAGAAAAGCTTCGTTCCTGCTTATCTGCTGATGCTGGACACTTTCTGTAGGGGTACAATATTGGAGTAGATGCTGTTTCTTTGCTTTCTGTATCTTAACGAAGTGGCTTGGCATATTGAAGTCCAAGGAAGGGCTGTCTTCATGGTCAGCATTGTCCATGAGGCTTTCTAGGGGTGATCTGTGAGGCCGGTTGGCTTCAGCAGCCACTGCCAACACTGGTCCCAAATGACGGTTAGTGGATTCGGCGCCTATAGCTGTGCTTTGGGGTATGATAACGCCGGTGAGGTGTAGGGGCATGTACGCTGCCGGCTCCTCTTTTGTGCAAAAACATCTCTGGTAACAGGACGGGGGAAAATGATGTTCACAAGGCACTGCTGAGGCCATGGGCGTATCAGCGTGGTAGGGGAATGCAGGTTGGAAGGGGGATTTACTGCTTTTCGGAGTGTCTGGGCTGTGCCCTTGCCTCCAAGCATATGCACCTGCACCCACCTACGTTCGTATGCGCTTTCCAGGCTGTATCCATATGGAGAATTCAGCGGTTGTTAAAATGAAACTTAATTGCATTAATGCTCAAAACAGATTAGGAGGTGGTCCCCGAAGGAGTGAGCTGTTGTGATCCAAGCAACAGCTTTTTTTTTTTTTTTTTGCATACTAGAGGAGCAAAAGGGAGATGCAGAGGAGCAAGGGGAATTAGTCAGAAACGTTATATATTGAAAATGCTGATATGATGGGAATGATTTCTGGCTCCCCAGAGCATCCGTTTCGCTGGAGCCAAGAGATGCTTTCCAAGTAGAAACGATCATAAATTACTGTCTGAGAGATAGTAGGCTTCCCGTGAGCTGTAATTGGAAAACACCAACATCAGCGGTACCCC